CCCAAAATCGCCTGCGGTATACACTCATGTTGCACTGAAAAGAAAGAAATTAGAACTAGCCAGTGGTGGCAGATAAAACTCAGCTTGGTAGGGAGACCGGACATAAAAAGACTGGTGGGGGACAGTTTTTCGGCGAGGGGAGGGCATTTTGCACTTTCGTTGCTTCGCTAGGTCCGGTTTACAAGTCTCACTCTGGCTAGACCTGTGGACCCTTGTGAAGCTGGAGCTAGGTCGTCAAGCCATCATGGTAACACCTGTCCACTCAAGAAAAGGCTGTACCGATAGGAAGTAGCAAAAGTGCAAAATGCCCTCCCCTCGCCGAACAAACTGTCCCCAGTCTTTTTATGTCGGGTCTCCCTACCAAGCTGAGTTTTATCTGCCACCACAGGCTAGTTCTAATTTCTTTCTTTTCAGTGCAACATGAGTGTATACCGCAGGCGATTTTGGGTATGGATATCGTCTGTCAAGCTAAATCCGGTATGGGCAAAACAGCCGTGTTTGTCCTAGCTACTCTACAGCAGTTGGAACCTGTTGATGGAGAGGTACAAAATTTCGACGCGAAAAAAGCAGGGATCATAAGATCAACATATTAAATTGTAGGTGTCAGTGTTGGTCATGTGTCACACTAGGGAGCTTGCATTCCAAATCTCGAAGGAGTATGAAAGATTCAGCAAGTATCTTTCCGCCATCAAAGTGAGTGTTCACCTTGTTCGTGTTATTATAGTTTAGCTGATGATAACCAGTGATCATACCGGGTAACTACTTTTGCGTGTTTCAGGTAGCAGTATTTTTCGGTGGTATGCCTATTAAGAAGGATGAGGATCTGCTGCGCACGAACTGCCCTCACATAGTCGTAGGAACACCTGGTCGAACTTTGGCACTTGCGAGGTCTGGAAAGCTGAAGCTTGATAAGATCAAGTACTTCGTGCTCGACGAATGCGACAAGATGATCGGGGATGCTGGTAAGTGTGTTTGATGTTATTCACAGCAGCAGGTGTCGGCTCAGGCAGCATTCAAACTTTGGCGATGGCGCGCTGTAAGACCGTGTTATTACGTGACCACGACAGGGGCGCTTCACCGTTAAGCAGTGCGCCTCCGCAAGGACACAATTTAAGTTGGGCCCATTCACGCAGTGCCGATTTGAAGTGTGCCTTCGCGGCGGTGCAACGTTTGGCAGTTGTGTGTCCACGGTAGCGGTCGCGCGATCGTGAAGTCTGAATGCGGTTGCGCTCTGATCGCAACAACGCTCCAATCCTATGGCCGTAGACGGGAGTCGATCGCCGCCGACCGCTCGTGTTTTGAGAGTGTGTAGGATAAGAGGAGGGCAGGTTTCTTGAGCTCAAGAGTGGATGATAGACAACGCGTGCCGTGCTGTAGTCCCCAATGCTCTCATTACCAAAGCGGCCAGGATCTATGGATCCTTGCGGCAGCATTCGTGTGGATAGGGTAGGAGCTCTTATAGCACGTCGACGCGCCTCGTCGCGAAGTCTAAACACTCCCTAAAGAGCGTAGCATTTAAATGACTCATCTAGGACTACAGTCACAATGGGGATCAAGGCCTAAGCCAGAGTCAAGAGTTGGATGACTTTGTTCGTGCAAAAGGGGTGCTCGATGCGATAATCCTAGCCCGGCATATGGAGTCTTTTGAATGCTACTCTGCCTAGACAACTTGCTCGTTTGTGAAAACTGTAAATTGCTGTCAGAAACGACAGAACGATTTCTGTTTAGACATGCGCCGTGACGTACAAGAAATTGTGAAGATGACGCCGCAGGAAAAACAAGTGATGATGTTCTCTGCCACACTACCGAAGGAGCTGCGCATCGTCTGCAAGAAGTTCATGCAAGATGTAAGCTACGCATCCTCGTTCTCTGGATTTCCCCACCGCAGTGCAGTGTCATGCGGGAAACCATGAGGAAGAGATTACGCACGGTGAGTTGACTGTGACATGTCGATCTTTTCAGTGTTCAGTGAAAGTTCTCTTTTCAGGAACGCTTTATGCGTTTTCGTTGTCTGTGGTCTCTTCCGGAGGACCGGCATCATTGGTGCTGAAGATGTTATCATCGCCAAGTTCAAGGGCAACCTGAGATGCAACTGAGGCATCCATGGGTGACCGGTGTATGTCCCTCGATGTCTTACGACATCCGTTTTTTGTCTGCATCGTGTGCCTACACTTGAACGTACTTGAGGTTCATATATTGTGTTGATTTGTTTTTCATCACTCTTACCTGTTGCAGCCTATGGAAGTTTATGTTGATGACGAAGCGAAGCTCACTTTGCATGGTCTGCAACAACACTATGTGAAGCTGAAGGAGACAGAGAAGAACAGAAAACTGTTGGAACTTTTGGATCTTCTCGAATTCAATCAGGTATGCATAGTATGTATACTTAAGTTGCTCTACAGTCTAATAATGATTGTTTCAGGTTGTCATCTTCGTGAAGTCGGTTCAGCGCTGTGGCGCACTTCATCAGTTGCTTTCCGAACAAAACTTCCCCTCCATCGCCATCCATAGGCAAATGCCACAGGAAGAGCGTCTTGCTCGTTATCAGGCCTTCAAGGATTTCCAGGTTTGGTCTTTTTTCAGTGGTGGCTGTTTTCCTGAAGAGCAGTTGAAATCTAACTTAATCCTTGCTTTCAGAAACGTATCCTGGTCGCGACTGACCTGTTTGGTAGAGGAATGGATATTGAAAGAGTGAACATCGTTTTCAACTATGATATGCCCGAAGATTCAGACTCCTACCTTCATAGGGTATGTTCGTTTTTCTTTGTGCCCAATCTTGAGTTGAAGGCAGTGCGCACGATGGCGAGGACGGGCGGGTGCTGCTAACGTCATTGGTGGAGGGGGGAGTGTGGTCCAAACGTCCCCTCGCAGCCCCTTCCTCGATCTGGCAGGACCCCCCCCTTAGCCCTCGTGCCCTCTGCCATCAAACATGGGGAGCAGTAGTTCAGGGAGAAGGAGTCAGTCCTTGTCAAAATATGATGCCTCTGAGCAATGGCCAGCACATTTTTGACAAACGATTTGCATTCTTCACTCATGATGAACCTCGATGATGAATAGGTCGATTAAATGTTGGGAATGAAAAATAAGGAAAAAGTGCGTCAGGGTGTTATAGAAACCAACCTTCAACATTCTAGGTAGCTCGAGCTGGTCGATTTGGAACCAAGGGCCTCGCCATCAGTTTTGTTTCGGACGAGGCTGACGCCAAGACGCTCAACAGTGTGCAGGATAGGTTCGATATCAGTATTACGGAGCTACCGGAGACAATTGATGTTTCTACTTATAGTGAGTTTTTTCCTTCTAACTGCGGTTTTCCTATATGTCGTTTGTAACCGCAATCACCGTAATAATCCTACCATTTCAGTCGAGGGCAGAACGAACTAACTCGGAGCATCGTTCTAATGTACTGTATGACTGTGTAATTGCTATCTAATTGTTTTTGTTTCGTGAAATGTTCATCGCGTGGTCTCATTGTTTCCTTGTGTTTCTGTTTTTCTTAGTTGTAACCCGTTGGATTGTCAGCCTTGCAAATAAATTATGATGATCTTCGGTTTTGTTGCTTTTGCTGTCGTTAATATTCTTGAAGTGACTTGCTGCGAATAAGGTCAGTAGCATTTGTGATAAGTTGGCCCCTCGGTACGACACGGTAGAAGAGGGTATTATTACGATCTCCTCTACTTCGCAGTAGGCTTCGTTTCCACTGCGTCTGATGTCGCCATGGGAGCGCGCTGTTTCGTTGCTTTTACCCTGGAAGCTTTTGGATAGGTTGTGGCTTCGTCCAGAAACAGCGTTTGGCGGAGCAACAGGCGCCAATATTTTGGTGAAGTTGATTTTTTTTATCTCTCATTTGCTGATGTCTCCCCTTCGGTAAGACAATTTTGTTCACACACAACGAGAAGAGGTGAGAGCTCCGGAACGAGATTTGCGCTTCGTAATTTCTCTCCGAATCACTGCTACAGCTCAATTACCAAGGAAGATGTACGGCTACAAATGGGACGCAGAAACATTACGTAGGCCCTAAAAGTGAGTATTTCTACGCCATTCCACAGTCTCCGATGAGTATTTCTGCCTTCTATCCAGATTTTCTAAAACCCCTGCAGTGCTTCCTGAGTGCGCCCTCTATCTGGGGTCAACGTGAATCCACAGACAGAGGAATTGATGAGCGCATTCAGTGAGCCACGCACGCACTAGATTTCCATTGGTATTTACCTCGAAAATACAGTCCTCATCATTGCGGACTGTCGGAGGGCGGCTGTGCAACGCGGTCCAAATGGGCGTTCGGCCTCGTTGCTCTACCAATGGCGATCGGGTAAAGATCGATTTAGGGAGGGAGCAACCAATGATGGAAACGCCGCAGGTGCGAGCCGCTGATTGCGACCCGACAATTGCGGTGATGTAAAGTGTATGTGTTGACTGCAAACGAGCTCCCGTTCCCGCCAGGAGCACTGCCCAGAGAATCGTTGATCTCGCTACAAGTTGTTTTAGATGAAGCACCGTCGAAAGTACACGGAACATTTCTAAATTGCCTCTCAGTAGTGCTCAGGCCGCTTTCGTTTTTTTTGGACACTCCTCAGGGAATGAGGGGATAGGAGAATGCGCGCCGAAGGACAGTGAAAACATTGGGGCCATAAATCAGGAGAATTTTGGATTAGGAGTATACGCGCTAAAAGAATAGATGGCAATGAATTGACTCTGATCGCTGGCGATTTGGAGGATGCGCACGAAAAGTGTGGACAGATCCATACTTTGCTTTCTTGCATTACTATTCCCCGAGTCGAAAAGTATAAACGCGCCTTCATGGCATCCTCCGACAACAAATAGTGGCGCAGAGGTTAGGAGAGTTAAAGGAACGGTCCGCGATGACCTATGAAAATGCAAAAGGTTGTGTGGGAGGTTAGCGCGGTCCGCAGTGGACAACCTGCCAGTTTTGCGGCGGAAAGTTGTAAGGCAAAGGAGTTATGACGTAAAGTTGCCTCAGTGATCCCTTTTTCCAGTGACTCCGCCTTCAAAGCCCGCCTTCCAGCCAAAAGCGATGCTACCGCACAAGTAGCATGAAAGGGAGATGCTCCATAGTCTCTTGCGGAGTCATACGGCCTATCAGGAAGAATGAACCGACCGGATGCGATTCAACACGCGGTCTTTCGGCCTTTACCCGCACCTGTCTGAGACTGGAGTGGTCGTATTAGGAACGTTTCCGACGTCCCCTTTGGCATTTTCTCTTTGGCAAGTTTTCTTTCTTATTTACACACCATTGAACAGGCTCCTTATCGCGGACCGTGCCTTTAACCGCAAGTTTTTGTGCAACTCGTAATATGCCCGGCACGTCGAAGTCTTGCATTCGCTACGTATTCCACAGGATCGCGTAGGAGAAACGTGTCGCGTATGTCGGAGCTACGGAGTCCAGCTCGATATTGCGTGTACTTATTGAAACTCAGACGACAGCGTTCGAGCGCTCTGTGCGTCACAGTTTGTGTTCTTGACGTGGACGCACTGTCCACCCATGTCTCGGCATGGCAGGGGGCAAGAATTACGGAATTGAACAGACTGGCACGATGTTCCTAGTCAGTAAGGTGATGAATAACTCCCTTATGATG